TACTGCAGTGGAATCCACCAGTTCCTTTATTGACCAGACCGAGGCAGAAGAGTTCAGATGGAAAATTAGAGAACAGCGGGATGAAGAACGTAGAGCTCTGAACGGCCTACGTAGATACAACAACATCAAGATCCTACCTGCAGATAAAGGAAACGCTACTGTGGTGATGGATACCGTTGTCTACGAACAGAAGATCGAAGAGGTTCTTCAGAAGGGACGATACACAAAGATCGTACGGAACCCTACTGCATCAATTGAAAGGAAGTTGTACCAGATTTTGAAAAAACACCAAGTCTATTTTTCGGACAAGGAAAGGTCATCGCTAACACCGCACCACAGTAAGCCCCCGCATTTGTATGGATTACTCAAAATCCAAAAGAAGGACGTTCCGCTTAGACCGATCATCAGCTCCAGAGACTCGGCTACTCAATACTTGTCAAAATTTTTACTTCCCTTAATACAACCATTACAAGGAAAAACATCGTCTTTTGTGAATAATTCAAGGCATTTTGTCTACTACTAGGGTCAATTGAAGTCACACAGGAAGATCAACTAATTAGTTTCGACGTGGAAAGTCTTTACACCAACGTTCTGGTCGAAGAAGTACTCCAAATCATACAGAGGAAGCTATCCGAAGATGGGAACCTGTATCTACCTATAGAAGTAATTATGGAATTACTAGAATGCTGTGTACGAAACTGTTACTTCCAACTGAAGGACGAATTCTTTACACAAGATGAGGGACTGCCAATGGGATCGCCACTTTCACCAGTCATAGCCAACATATATATGGAGTGGTTTGAAACTCTGGCCATTGAAGAAGCCCACAAGAAACCTCGAGTCTGGTTGAGATATGTTGACGATACCTTCATAGTATGGAACCATGGGAATACTGAACTAGATGCCTTCCTGAAACATATCAACAGCGTGAGACTTACTTTCACAGTGAAGAAGGAAATCCAAAAAGAAATGCCATTCTTAGACGTTTTGATGAAGATGACCGACACTAAGTGGGAAACGTCTGTATACCGAAAACCCACTCATACGGGACAGTATCTGAACCACGAATCCAACCACCACGAATCCAACCACCATCAATCGACTAAAAGAGGAATCATCAAGACCCTATTAGACCGTGCTTTTGGACTCTGTAATACGAAGGAAGGTCTCGAGAAGGAAACGCATACATGTTGTCCAACAACGTATTCAGCCAAGCCAGCGTAGAAATACGCAACATATGGAAATCCATCATCAAGCAAAAAATGGCCAACTCCCGCCAAAAGGTCATCTCCCACGGAACCAGTGAAGTGGAAAATAGAAAGCGGGGATAAGTGAAAGTACTCGAACGACCTATAAATAGTCATCTCCCGGAGGAATCAGTCCAGTCATCACTCGAAGACGGTTGTAGATACTAACAATCGAAACGTCGTGAACTAACGTGGCTTGGAATCTCTCAACTTTTTATTTTTATTTTCTTTTTCATTTCTTCACTTTTATTTATTTTTTGTTTTATTTTTACTTGTATTTTATTCCACTATTATTTCATTTCACATTTTTTTGCTTAATATAATTGTCATTTTCAGCTATTTATTTTTAATTCGTCTTTTTTAGTTGTTTCAGGGATTTCAAATCATTTTATATAGTAGACAATGAAACAAAACATCAGGCGTAAAAATTATTTTCCAAAAATTAATATGATATCCAAAATAACATTCCAGTCAAGGATGAGATTTTGAGTCAGGGCAGTAGAAGGAAATAATGCGAAAATTAGGAATCACCTCACAAGGAAATCAGATTGTACCTCTATTGAAAACACTTTTGCTACACTTGAAGCACGTGTGGCTAACCAAATTAGCATCTAAAACTGGTTGGGATGACATTTATACTGCGAAAAATGCAACATTTTCACGTTCAAATAAAAAGCCCTGCGAATCCAAAACGGAATATCTGATTACTGATTAGTTGGGTTGAATTTCAAATGCTTGAATAAGCATTCAGTAACTGGGTTGCCGTAATTATTCCTGATGCAGTTCTGCCTATTGGACAGTGATTGTCTTTGTTTTTTTTGGAGACTCGGAAATATTTGGGCGAAAGGGTCCTGAAATTTTTTCTCCTGGCACACAAAAGCGAATGACTGGAAGGGAAAAGAGACTATACCATCAGTTCTATTATTTGATTCATATCTACAGGTTGCCTGCGACCAGATACAGAAAGCGAATAGAGAGGAATAGAGAGGTTTTTCCTGTAATTATTCTAAATCCAGAGGGTAAAAGGAATCTAGCCTCAAGTTACTTGGTGACCAAGAAGATGAACGGGCTTGTTCTATCGTATTGCTAACATATTAGGAGCAAACCTTTGGTAGTTCTCATCTGAAGACTGCCAGGTATGGTGCATACTTTTAGGCGAGCTTCTAATTTTGTTTCAGGAACGAGAAATATTTAACATTTTCACGTTCGAATAAAAAGTCATGTGAATACTCAACAGAATATATGATTATTGACTGATTGTCTTCTGGTGTTATTATAATACTGGAAAAAGCATTCAATGACTGGGTTGCCGTAATCAATACCGCGGTGAAGGGACAATTTGCATATTACCTACATAATTTTCTGTGTTGCATCATTCATTAACTACTTGTCAACTACTAGTAATTATTCCTGCTAACGTACCTATATCTCATAACACAAATAGACAATCAATTAAACAAGGTTGGGGGTAATTCGCGAAATTAATTGTTAATAGTATTTAAAGTGACGTAATATTGCGATAATTCATAATACATGACAATTTCAGTATCAGAGTAGGATATGTAAATCATAATTAAAATATTCCTGAGACCACAACATTGCAGCAGGCGGCTGCCGTTAGTGCTTTGTTAATAATTGAACGTCAGGTGCGATTAACGAAACGCCTCCTCTAGTTCCATGCAGGAAGCGACGAAGCGGCAAAAGTCGAATTCGGTCGGGTCCGGCCCACTTTCATTAATTACTTTCGCAGCCAGAAATGGGGCTTATTAGATCGAAAGAGCTGGAGGGGCGCAATTCTCGTAATTAGATGTCTCACCATTAGATTGGATTCTAACCACCGAATAAATCTACCTGGAGAAAATAATTGCATTCAACCAGTTTAATGAGAAATTTTGTTGATTTGAGTAACTGAAATTATGCAAAAAATTGTTTAAAAGGGCGAAATTGAAGATTTTTCTCCGAATAATAAATCATTAACTATTTTTAACAGTATCACAGGCACATTGTGCTCTTCTTCCATCTTTTCATGAGACACATTCCAACAATCATGTTTTCTGTTCTCAGGATGTTTATTCAACTTGAACGCAGTTCTCCAGATGAAAGGATTCATAAACAGTTATAGATAGATAGATAGATAGATAGATAGATATTTTATTCATGTCATTACACAGAAGTGCATATACATACGTCACATATAGTAGATTCAAAAAGTAAAAATGTATAAATGTAAAATATTACAGTGAACAATTAAAAGTAACACAATAGGTAACACAATAAGTAACACAATAAGTTCGAGGTGTACTGATTTGAACCTCAAAACGCTGAGCAGCCACAGTCCGTCGCGTATTTCTGATATGTACCGCTCTTGGTGGAATTGAATGTGCCAAGTCACTTCCCAAGTCACAAGTATCTATTTTCCAGGCTATCAAGGTTACACGTGATGTTCGCGTCTCCAATCAGGCAGATGGCTCTTTTCTGGATGGAATTCAGCAACTTCATGGGTTGCTTAGAGGTGGAGCTCCCATACCGGAGAACAATAGTCCAAAGAAGCATTAAAAGTTGCTGAGGTGTGTACAGTTTTCTGGTTCGGAACAGTGTTCCAAACTTTTGAGGTGTAGCCTTTGGAATTCAAGCGAAATGATCGTGCCAAGACTTATATATTGGTATCCATTTCAACCCCCAACAAACTTATCGAAGAAGAAAGCGAAATTATCTATCCTCACATTATTATATCCGGTTTGGAGACATCTTTTTAAAGAAAACCGATGCCTGAGTTTATGTGACATTAAATTGAACCTGGTTAATTTTACCCCAATTCAAAATCACTTTTAGATCCTCATTAAGATAGACAACCTTCTGCTGCCGGTGAAGATATGCATCCGCAGGTGATGTCCTGGAATCCAAATGAAATGACGAGACTAGTGTGCTGTCATCAACAAAGCAATATATTGGATTTTTTGTTTTTTCAATAAGTTGTTGATATACAATAAAAAGAGAGTTGGAGATTATAAATTGATCTCAGGTTGGCATCAGCGTTGTTGGTAAAGGTATTCGAGAGATATCCATCGACGGCCATTTGCAGGAAACATTCTTTCAGAAAACGGGAGAGCCATACACAAAAATGATCTGACAACCCATAGCAAACCCTCATACATACGAATGAATATATCAGATGTTTATACCCACTTTTAGATATAATTGCTCGCCTTCTGTGATCGAGTGCCTTACATTTGCATAAAACATGATGAGCTGTCTCTGCTCCTTCATTACATGGTGTACAGGTGTCCTCCAAATGTATAGTTTCCAAAATGTCACCCTGCATAAAGTAGTTTTTCAGTTCTTTTTTCAAAACCAATTCAAGGTGTATTTTTCCAGAACTATTTACATTTACTCTTGAAAACAAAAATACCTATGATGAAAGAAAGTTATTAGGTATTCTCATCTTTTCTTTTATCGATTTATTTATTGGTTTTTCAGTTATTTTTTTAAGATTTTCATTTAGTTGGTTGCTTTGTTATAGATTCTTAAGATAGATAATGAATAAAAATCAAATAACAAGAAAGAATAATAAGAAATTCATTAGAAATAAATAATTGATCAAATAATGATTTGCTAAAGACATGTGTTTTTGGCTCATGGAATTGAACTGGGGGGTTATCCTTAATAGCACAAGATAGATACAAATGTTTGGAGAAGCATTCGTAATTTTGCCAAATTTCGGCCTTTCGAGAAAAATATGAAAAAAGCACATACCTCCATTTCGTCCTCCTATTTTGAAACCACGTTTTAACTTGAGCGTCTGTCATTTTCAACGTTTTCGCTAAAGACGCTCTTTCCGCCGACGCCAGATACTTCTGTTTGTGAAACCTCTTCTCTAACTCGGCAATTTGCAGTCTTGTGAATGAAGTTCTAGGCTTCTTCCTCTTAGGGGGTGTCCTGTTTTGGTAAGGGTGTCCTATCCGCCTCGTCATAGGGAAAGATGCTGAAACAAAAAGTATGATGATTTGTTTGAAATTCAAATCTTTATGGATGTATATGTGAAAATTGAAAAAAAATAGTGGAAGTGAATAATTTCACAATAGTTAGCGTAGCTTCAGGTGAACGTGAAAAAAATGGAATAACAGTTCGTAGGAATGAAATACTATGCGGTATCCGTAATTTCTTGAATAAAAACTCACCTTGTCATTAGTACAATTTTAATTTGATTCTTCATTTTATGTTTTCATCGAATTGTTTTCAACTATTCAAGTACTGTTTAAATCTGTTTAAAGTCTCTTTTCCGTTAATCAGCTGTCGCCCCCATACGAACGACCACTCTCAGAAGTTGAGAAACTTGTGCGAGCTAAGGACTAACGAGGTCTTACCTTTCAACGTGTGTTTCATAACATTCCTAACCTAACATGATATTCAATCATGAATATACTTTCACAGAAATCAAAATCCAATTGAGTTACACAAAATAAAATTGATCTGATTACATATAGGAGACCTTATGAGATTGAATAACAAATAAGAGTGAAAGTTGTTTTCTGGTCCAATGTTTAACTTTGTGTTTTAAAATCAGACTTATACTTTGTAAAAAAATTGAATTCATCGCATTTGTAAAATCACTAAAAACAATAATAACCAACTATTTTGTTTGTGCAATAATTTATACGCAGCATATAAATTTTAACAATATTACTCATTTATGCACAATAAACCCTTGCGAGTTGCGGTGGAGGGTCGAATAGACCCACTAACTTTCGACCTAACCTAACCTAACCTAACCTATGAATGAAAACTATTATTTTTAAAACATACTTTGGAAATTGTGTCTAGTTAGATAACTTCTGTAATATGGTCGTTACAAAGTCACCTAATCGTGGTGTGAGCATCAAGTTGTTGAAAGGGTAAGTGAGTTGGTTCTAGCCAATGGAGACGATATGATCGTCTTGATATATACCGGTACTAACGATGCCCCAAAGGTTGAAACACCTGTCTACCGGTGGCTCTTACGTTGAAATCAATATTGTAATGATTAGAGAGATGATTAGAATAGTACCCATCAATTTATCTTTTGATTTTCATGGATTTTTTTCCAGCAGCTTGATTGCATTAACCTTTCTCGATTTCATATAATTTCTAGAAACATGTGGATTCGTTTTCCGATGGTATTCCAGTATGGCTTCCCAAATTTGTGCTACCGCAGTTATCGGTTGATTAGTCAAACCACCAACACAGACATTAAAACTTGGCAAGTCGACTTGGGTGTTACACCTCTAGGTGGTGGTTTACGCAGTTATTTTCATCAAGTACTTTTTTTGGTCATTCACATTTTGTCTTCAATCAAGGACCGCCTTTCGGTATTGACGGTGCCCAAAAAGTTGAAATCAATATGGGAATGGTCAGAATATTACTTAGGTAACTACCTATTCATTTTTTGATTTTCATAGATTTTTTTTCAGCAGCTTGACTGCAATAACCTTTCGATTTCATATCATTTCTAGAAACATGTGGATTTGTTTTCCGATGGCATTCCAGGAAAACTTCCCAAGTTTCTGCTATCGCAGTTGTCGGTTGATTGGTCAAACCACCAACACTGACATAAAAACTTGGCAAGTTGACTTGGTTGTCACACCTCTAGGTGGTGGTTCCACTTATGTATTACTTATTTTTATTAAGTACTTTTCTTGGTTATTCACATTTTGTCTTCAATCGAGGACCGCCTGTCCTTGGACTAGGATAACTAAGTTTGTGTGTCATTGATCCCTCTTCTCTTCGGCATAATATATCATTACTTAGTCTCTTACAACGTTGAAAAAATAACCATAAGAAAATTTGCAGAGCGATTTCAAATTTTGTGTTACTAAATTCCATGGAGTATGAACTAGTTCCGGTACTTTTCACTATTTCTAAAAAATTTCAACTGATTATCTGATTATCTGTATCAATATAGAAATCGTCATGCTCTCCTTCTCTAGAACCTCAAGATCATACCGGTTTTCCGCAATATGGCAGAAATCTTGGTAAGAAAATGCAGAAGGTCATCAGTTACTCTAGACTCATTGCGTTTTTCAGGGCACATGTTTCCCGGATCTAATGATCGCTTAACTCATGGTGAAGGGAGTTGTCATTGGTTGATGATTTTGGGTAATGCTTTACGAATGTATGAACACCTTTCGGTAACAAAGTGAGCATGAGTAACAGAAAGCTCTGTTTGATATTCACTCACCCAAGTACTTTTCGAACTGTCAAACTTCCTCTTGTGAGAAACTGAGATGTTTAAATGCAGAATTTTAGACTATAATATGGTTCAGCATCTAACGTTAGTAATGTTTTCACAGTCAGTGAAACCCTTTTTTTGTAGAGCATGATTGGTCTCTAGAAATTCAGGAGTTATGATGATGTAATAAGGTAAATAATTTGCTATTTCTTTATAATGTTTTGGTATTTTTATTTGGGCAATGAAAATGGTATCACAAAAGACATATTGAAAATGTTTACTGTGTGTGTTTTCGCCTAATACAAAATAGAAACATGAATAAATATACAACATAGATAAATGAACTAATAAAATGAATGAATAAATTACAATATGTGGATATGACAACGAACAATATAAATAAAAATATAAATATAATATAAATATAAAATATAAATAAAAACAGAAATATTTTGATACAAGAAAGTAGAAGGTATGACTGAGGTAAACACATACCGACTGTGAGTATTATTCTTCTAATAATGCACTTATCACACATGTTTCGGGTTGTTCGTACTAAAGTCTTTCAGCCGTTTTTTCAACATATTAGTGTTTTTCAGATATTTGATCACTTTCTTTTTTTTGTATGGAGCATGATTGGTATTTAGAAATTTAGGAGTTACATTTTGATGATGTAATAAGTTAAATAATTTGCTATTTTTTATAATGTTTCGGTATTTTCATTTGGTCAATGGAAATTGTATCCACAATTTCGGAAAAATTCATGATGGAAGTTCTATTACCTTCTCCTCTACATCTTCTCAACATTTCATATTGTTACATTAATTTATGTCAAAAACAGAAAGTAACTTTCTTGTTTCCATTCGCTAATGTAACAAATGACTTGAGACTCGTTCAACATATTAAGTCATAAATAAACCCGAAGATAAATAATTAAAGATAATATCTTTAAAGTAAAATTTATTACAGGTATGCTTTTTTAAATGAGTAACTACAATATAAGAAATAAATGACTACGATATTCTAAAAGCTGCAATTAATAAGATTATGGCAGCGCTTTTTGTTTAACTGTGAAACATGAGAGTATATAAGTCTTGTATTTTTACAGATGAGCAGAACGATGTTATCCAACTAGAAAGCTTTATGTTGTTTTGCATTAAACAACTGATTATGTGCATCACGTTTTGTCTTACTTTATGGCCAACTTAAAACGGCCATGATTAATTTCTGTTTGATAATGATGGGATTTTAATAGCTCTTTCACGGTTAAGTATGTTGTTTCACCATTGCGTTCTTCATTGTACCGTAAATAGATATCGCTAATAACGCTGAGTTCAATAGTGATGTACGTCTTCGCAAATCGAAGGTAGGGAATATTATACTCTAGTTTTATTACAATTTACTTCCTTGTGAGACCACTTTACTATTTTGCAGATGGCTTGTTATAATGAGATTGAAGCAAAGCTTCCATCAAAAAAGAAGAAGCGTAACTATACATCTGTCACCACAAATGTTTAAAGTTCGTCTCTTCACGAATATCTTCGACGTGCATCTTATAATTTATAATAATACAAACATTCGCATACAGAAAACGAATGTACTCACTGATTAATAATTTGCCCCGAGGGCAGATTGACTTCTTTAATACATGGAATAAAAAATTGAACTCTAAAATTACATACGGTGCGGAAGTAAATAGCCCCCCTCCTCTTAACTTTTGAACGGGGCAAGATAACAAAGTCGGACAGAATTTTTATGAAAAGAATTCATTTTAATACTTTTTGATAAAAAAGTCACCACTCGCCGCATAGAAGGCGCTATCATTATTGTTTAACAAATAAAAAGAGGGGTACTGTGCCCCTTTGCTGCTTTGAACTGAATAACCGATTGTGGAGTTGTTGGTGTATGAATTGAAGACTAAGAAAATGATAATTTGTAACTTTGTAACAGAAGGAGAATTGAAACAGCTCCAAAGTTAGTGATCACATGTAACACAAAGTTCGTAATGTATATAAAGAAATTGTTCACGGAAATTTAAAAAATGTTTCGCAACATATCTTTAGAGGAAAAAACAGAAACCATTAGTATATACACGGTCGAAAAATTTCAAACAACTGAAAGTGTCGCTAGAGCTAGAGGAGATGGGAAGATAATCTATTGCGAACGAGAAACAGGAATTGTTGCATAAGTAGTGAATAACACCCTGTAGTCTAAATAACCACCAGCAAGAAATACCTCAGAAGACATAAGTTTCATCTTTATGAACTAAAGATATCACATGAATTAAATGTGATCCTGACATAAAAATTCAGTTTTCTTAGTTAATGTTCGAACATTTGATCGCGAATTGAAACTGCATAAAAAGTATTTGTTTTATAGACGAATACATTTTATTTATGGAGATGTCAACCGTCGAAATGTTTGATATTGGTCAGACATAAACCCCACATATTTTTCGAGAAGGTCACACTCAAACTCCTGAGAAAATAAATTGCTGGACATAAATATTGAAAAATTATATTGTTGGTCCCGTATATCTAGAAGAAAATCTTGCTGTTGCTTTATATTTGTAAATTTTTCAAAACCTCTGTTACCCAAACATTCAAGAAATTATGGTTAGTAATCAAGATGAATTCGAAAATCCAGTTATGTTCCAGTTAGATGGTGCGCTCCCACAATTTTTTAGGTTTGTAAGGGATTGGTTATACCAAGGCATTGGTATGGTATGGTATAGATTGGTATAAGCGGTCCGTAGGAATGATCTGCTCGTTCACTGG